GATGAGAGCTCTTCCTTGGGTTATCGTCTTTTGCCCAAAATCTCCATTGCTAGCTGTATCAAGTGAAAGTTTGTATTTTGGTTTCAAACCTCGATAAAATGTGCTCAGCAGGCTTGATCCATGAAATCCATGATGAGGGCAATCACGTTCATACTCTTTAAAACGTTCCCAAGCTTCATAGAAAGATTCAGTTGGCCCTTGTTGAAAGGTTGAGATCTTCGTTCTCAGATTGTTCGACCTTGACTTAGTGTAGAAGTGGTTCAGGAAAGCAGTTCTACATTCTTCCCAATTAGTAATCGATCCTGCAGGCAAAGACTTCAACCAACGGTGAGCTTTATCTGCTAATGAAAAAGGGAACAACTTACACTTTAAATAGTCAGGTGGAACTTGGTTTGTTCTCATCATGCTGCAAATTTCTTCAAAAAGCTCGATATGGTCCATTGGGTGCTCAGAAGGAACTCCATGGAACTGGTTTTGCTTCACCAATGAGATGATTTGAGGCTTGACTTCAAACTCATTCCGGTTTGGAAATGGTACTTGAATCGCAGATCGATTCTGAAAATTTTGAGTAGGTGCATCAAAATCAGCTATGCGATGGTTCCTGGCTTGTCTTCGGTGTTGATTTGCTGGCGGAATGGGGCGGTGAATGCGTTCATTCGGCTGCATTGCTGGGTGGTCACCATCGGCTACATTGATGGGTGGATCAAGGTCTTCACGTCCTTCTCTCTCTCGGTTCTGGTGGTTTCTTGGAAGAACCTCATCCTCCTCTCCATCTTGTCGAGCATGATCACCTTCTATGTGATCATTCTCTTCGTTTTCTCCATGTTCGGACCCGTCTTGGTCAATATTGAAATTTCGATTAATAGGATCTCCAGGCTGGTCGTCGTTGGCTATTCCTTGCGTTCGTCTAAGTCTTCGAAGTTCTCTTTCGTGTCTGTCTATCTCGTCTAGAATTGGAATGTCTCCTGCAGGTCTACGCCTGGTATTCATGCAATTCAGAGAAAGACAAAAGAAGGGAAAGATAGTTCATAAAAACTTTAAGAAAGAACTAGAGATCAGGTGTCTAGAACAGAAGTTAAAACAAGAAAAATAGCAAAAGGCAGCGAAACAAATCCCCGGCAACGGCGCCAAAAACTTGATGGGGTTGGTGTGTCGGTCAACTACGTGAGGGAACAAGTTTTACCCTTAACAAAACAAAAGAAAGCCGCAAGTGCACAGCTAATCTGTTGTAGTATTTAGGGATCGAATCCACAGAGATTTGTGTGCCTGGTAGTCTTCTACGGTTTTTAACTTTATGTCGAGACTAAATTGGTTTTAAAGGTTGGTTGTTTTTCTTGAATTAAACTAAAGGAAAATAAAGCAAATAAATCTATCCTAAAAGGCAAGTAAAGAAATCGAATGAAAGGCAGTAGAACAAGTAAAATATCAAACTAAACAAAGATAAGGCAAGTAAAATATCGCATGAAAGGTAAATAAAGCAAGTAAATAACGAACTAAGGAAATTAAAATGCAGGTCTAAAAGAGCAAGTAAAAATCGATGGAAATTGTAAACTATGGCTAAAAACGCTGAGCTTTTGGGAACTCTAAGGGATCATAATCGGTTTTAACATTAAGGTAGATAGATTGGGATTGACGGATAACAATATATGGGTTCTAGAGCTAGAGTACGGCGGTATGACTACGTCACTGTCGTGATCATAACCAACTGTTTCTCGCAACCCTGACCAGTAGGTTTCCACTCTGGCCCTGGAAGGGAGAGAACGCAAGAGCTGCATAAGACTCGTCAATACTCACGATCTCGCCGCAGGTAGGTTTCCACTCCTACGGAAAAATCGCCTGTTTCATTCTAGGGCTGATACTTAATGAAAACTTTCGCAACACTAACTATCTAGATCAGATACTAGGTGATCAATCAAGCATACATGCAATAAGAACAAGAATAAACAGAGAACAGGTCGAAATCCCAGATCTATAAACCTAGATGTCTTAATCGATTATGAGAGCCCCTTTCGGGAACCCTAAGCCCAACTCGGGATCTACTCAGACATGGCTGAGTTCGACATCATCATTGGTTTTAATAAAAGTAATGAAAACCAGTAAAGAAAAGAGATAAAGAAAGCTTCTCTATTGAAGAACTCGGACTTGAACAATCTTCTACAAAAATCTCATAAAAACGGCTAAAAGAAAAGGGTTTCTGTAAAGTATCAAAAAGCTCTCCTAAAAACGACCTAAATGACATGTATTTATAGTTTCCAATACTCCATGGTCTCTAGGGTTCCAGAATTGAGGCTGGGAATGACTTTGGGCTTCAGATAAGTGGGCTTTAAGTCGGAGCTTGAATGCCGCGGTCGGGAGTGCTGTGACCGCGGCAATTGGCTTGTTTGCCGCGGTCGGGAAGCTTCTGACCGCGGCAAATAGCTTGTTGGCCGCGGTCGCGTGAACTGCTGGCTGACTCCGCGTGGCTTCGGGGCTAATGGAATATCTTGAGATCCAACCGTTGGAATGTCTCCAAACCAAGTGCATTTGAAAGTTGGTTGATTCTTCTATAAGTTGTCCAATTTTGAGGGTGATCAGACGGTGAGAAGGTCTTCGTCTCTCCATGAGAGTTCTGACGGTCTGCATTTATCCAAAAGAGTCTTTTTGTTCCATTTTATGCCTCTTTATCCCAAATTACCTGAAAAGTCTTTTAAAATCCGGAAACATAGAAATCCTTTGAAAACCTTTGAAAATGGAGTAAAAACACCTGTAAAAGATATTAAAATGATCCATAAAAATGGTCAAAATCCGGTGTTATCAATCGTTAATTCGGATAAGTCTGCACGACGTTACAATAAGTGTGCTAATTAAGTCTACTCACTCGTATATATACAACTACAAGTCTACCAAAATATCAAGTCAACCCCTTCGCAAACTCCTAAAAATCAGTATCTCTGCACCCAATGTGAATATGTCAGCATAATTAGTCTGCGTTGAAGTGATTACATCAAAAAAATCTACTGTCAGCACAAGTCTACTACACCCAGATAACAAAATCTGCTTAGTCTACACTGTCAAAACAATAAGTCTGCTATATGAGTCTATTTAAGTTTACTCACTCGTATATACACAACTATAAGTCTACCAAAATATCAAGTCAACCCCTTCGCAAACTCCTCATAATCAGTAACTCTACACCCTCTGTTGATATGTTTGCACAGTAAGTCTACCTTCGAGTAAAGTCTTCAAACAAGTCTACCATCATAACAAGTCTACCTAACGTAGATCACCAAATTCTGATAAGTCTACAGTGTCTAACAATAAATCTGCACATTAAGTCGACCAGTTCGTAAAATACACAAACAAGTCTACAAACTAATCAAGTCGACTGCTACATAAACTTCTCCAAATCACTTCACCAAATCAGTAACTCTGCACCCTTTGAGGACATGTCTACGCTGCAAGTCTACCTTCAAATAATGTCTTCAATCAAATCTACTTTCGTCATAAGTCTACCTAATTGTAACTCGTCAAATCTGATAAGTCTGCACTGGTAAACAATAAGTCTGCCCATCAAGTCTACCTATTCGTATATACACAAACAAGTCTACCGACTAATCAAGTCCACCACTACTTGAATTCCTAAAAGTCAGTAACTCTGCACCATATGTGGATATGTCTGTGTAAAAAGTCTACCTTCAAGTAATGTCTTTGAACAAGTCTACCGTAATTAGAAGTTTACGTAAACGTAGATCGCCAAATCTGACAAGTCTGCATTGTCTACAAATATGTCTGTTTATTAAGTCGATCTGTTCATATAATATGAAAACATGTCTACCATTTTCGTAAGTCAACTCTCACTACAAACGCGGTGGCAGTTTCGTATATAAATACTTTGATCTAATAAAAAATTAATGACAATTTCGATATTTCATTTTTGGTACAACAGACAGATAAGAGTCTTTTGGATATTTTGTCCTCCAAAAACATTCTAGTCACTTTTCAAATTTTAGATATTTTCTACTAATAAAATGAAATTTTTAGTATTTTATAGTCATTGTCCCTTATCTTTATTTTGCAAGTGAATTCATCACACATTGAAACACTAGAAAAAAAGGAAAAACATAGTTTTAGAAAATCAAAAAGAACAAGTATTATGCGAGTTTAGAAACATATAGTGATGCGGTGATGATATTAACATAAACCATTAGAATATATATTTTGTGCAAACAAACATAATACTAAACTTGAGATATTAGAACATATGATAATTTTAAAAATAAAACAAAAACAAATAAATAAATAAAGAAAACAGTTTATGCCAATTTTGATAATTATCAGGTACTTAATATATGTATAATACTCCCTCCGTTTCATAATAAGTGTCGTTTTAGATTTTTTTTTGTTTTAAAAAAAGTGTGTATTTTCAATGTAACTTTTTACTCTTATTTCCTTTTTTATCCCTCATTTAAAGATAATAGTCTTTGTAATTAAATGTTATAAAAATATATTAATTAGGGGTATATTTGTATATTTTATTAATTTCTTAATCTGTGTGAAATGTGTCAGAATGACACTTATTATGAAACGGAGGGAGTACATTCTTTTGTTTAAAGACTCGGAGTCGGCTTTGCTGAAAAATGCAAGAATGAAACATTTTATTAGTCTAAAATCGATTTTAAATATATATATATATAATACTGCCAAGATTTTTTAAAGTAAATCTAGTTTACGGTAGACCCCGTAATAATATTCAACTAGTGATAGTTATAAGAAATTAGTCACAATTCCATAACTGTTATTTAACTTTGCACTAAACCACTTTCCCAAAATTGATCAACCAGAAAAAGAGACGATGTGAAATGGTGGTTTCTCCAATTTGGTTTCACCTTTTTAAAAAGTTTCCGAAACCAAACGCAAACTATCCTCCTAACTTAGTACTCGACTACGCCCCCCCCCCCCCCCACCTACGAAGATATATCTTTATATATTTACCTAATAATCATCTTCAAAATACACATATAATCCATAGTAAAACCAAGAAAAGGTGTCTACAAGAAGGATAAACAAGTAAAAGATATGCCGATCCGATCTAGCCACTTCTTCCATATGGAGAGCTCGGCTATACTCTCGCTCTTGCGGCACACAGGCAATTCCATGGATTCTAAACACTCAAAGAAATCTTCTGGAAGCATCGGTGGCGGGGTACTCAAAATGTTCAAGCTTTTGCCAATGCTATCATCTGGTTGCAAGGTGGTGAACTTGTTAAGTCGAGGCCATCGAAAACCTTTACTTAAAGACTTTGCAACTACTGGAACGATATTTGGGTTTCGCAAAGGAAGAGTCTTTCTTGCAATACAAGAAGATCCTCATTGCATGCCAACGTTCATCATCGAGCTCCCTATGCTGACCTCGGCGCTCCAGAAGGAGATGGCCTCGGAGACCGTGAGAATTGCGCTAGAAAGCGAGACAAGGACGTCTAGGAAGAAGGTGTTGGAGGAGTATGTGTGGGGGATTTACTGTAACGGACGGAAAATCGGGTATTCGATTAGGAGAAAGAACATGAGTGAAGAGGAGATGTATGTAATTGATGCATTAAGAGGTGTTTCAATGGGAGCTGGAGTTTTACCATGTAAGAACCAATACGAGCAAGAGACAGCAGGAGAAATGACTTACATGAGAGCTCGATTTGACAGAGTTATTGGTTCAAAGGACTCTGAAGCATTGTATATGATTAATCCTGATGGTAGTGGTCAGGGCACAGAGCTTAGTATCTTCTTTCTCAGGTCTAATTAATTGTTGTTACGCTTTTCTTTTTGAAGTCCATTTTCTGTTGTCAAATTTAATTAAATGGTAATTAATCATTTCGTTAGAATAAATAATTACTCTACAAAACTAGTTGATGGATTTTTCTAAAAAAGAGAGATTTGCCAGTGAGTTACTTCAACCAAAAGCTTCCGGAGCATAGGCAAAAATAATAATAATAATAATAGATTAGCATGATTCATATGAATTTTCGCTGCCCCTTAGGTTATCTCCAACCTGAACCTCTGGTTGGAGATCTTAACATTATATAAATGATATTTTTTGAGTAATGAATAGTGAAGAATCCATGTTTTTTTTCTCCTCCATCCCTGAACCTCTTAGAGGTTCATCATCTGTTTTCTGCATCTACAAGACTTGACCCTGCAAACTGATTACACTTGAGCTCTGCATCTACGTTTTCAAATACTGATTTGATGATTTTGGATGTATACTAGAGATTATGGTTATATAGGAAAATAATTCTTTTTGAACAATCTTGTTTCGTTGACCCACATGTTTCAAAAAAAAAAAAACAAATACAAGAGCAAATCGGCATGTCCTGTATTTAAAGCTTGGTCACCTGCAATCACTGAAGCAAAATAAACAAAAAAGAACATTTGGATCATTAAGCTCGTCATAAAAATGAAAGGAGTAGCTGTTTTACAAGAACTAATGATGTAACGTTTGCCATTAACACGATGACTTGAGAGGTTTCGCCTAAACTAGAAAACTTAGCATAGCTTTCCACAAGAGAGCCCAAAACATTGCAGAGTTTTAAAACTATGAACTAGCAGTGCATTCTTAAATATCTCAAAATAGAGCAACTTCAACATCTCATTGGCGAATGTTATAAAAAAATTTCAAACGTTGAACTCTAGTTTCTTTTGTCACAGCTTCTACAAATGCTTACGAGTCACTTAGCTGAACTAATAGACAAAGATCAAATATAGGCCTTTCATTTTATTAACAGGCAACATACTCTATCAAAGACAAGCATGGAGGCTCTTAAAGTTTCATATCTGGAGAAACCTAAGTTAATCAACAAAGAAAGCATCACCACCATCAATTTAACCAAGTCTAGAGTGAGAAATGCCAAATTTGTCTTTACAATGAACTAGAGAGCCAAGACGGTTTGTTCAGCTCTCAGAGCTGAAGCTGATTTCTATGAACTAGACAGCCAAAACGGTGCCATTTCAGCCACTGTTACCGTAGAAGGTGAATTGTCTGGGATCTTGGCAAGTAAGCAATGTTGCAACTTAATAGACTCTGCATTATCCACTGTCTTGACAACATACCTGAAATAGAAATCCATTTTGTTGCAAGAGCTTTAGCATCTAAGCAGATTCACATATGAGAAAAGCAAAGCAAAGAGATCTTAAGCGGATTGGTTAAGAAACATTTACCATTCTTTTAACTTGTTTTAATCCCCCGGCTCCAAAAGAATGTCCACAAGGCAGGATCGTAGCATCATTCATCAAGGCTCCTCTGTCCAAAGCAAAGCAGAGAAATCATCTCTGTGAATGTTATCAAGACTTAACATTTATACTACCTGTTTTTTTTCACCTGTCTCTCTAGAAGATACACATTTCGTCATACCAAAATTATAATCAAGGCTTGACATTGACGCAGAATAAACTGATCTTAGTTTGCAACCATGTTCAAATTCTCCGGCGATTCACAAGAAGCAGAGCTAAAACTTACGTGACAGGATCAGAGAGGATGGCCTTGAGAGACTCCCAAGAGCTGACACTGGTGATTTTCTCCTTCTCCAAATAAGCAAAATCTCGCTTTGACTGCGTCTTACGGTGGGAACTATTAGATACGTTACCATCTGGGCTAGTGATCATCACCTTAAGCTCCATTTCATGGCGATATATCGATGATTTCTCCTCCTCGTCATGTCTCACAACCAGTTCCCAACCAGCTGAACATGAGTACAACCAGGAATTAGCAGAGAATTCTTCGATCCGCTACTAAGAGCTTCAACAATCGTGGACTTTCAGCAGTCGTAAGAGAACATCGAAAGACAAGAAATTTTGAACTAATATACCTGGATTTTTAATTTCTCTGTTGGTTTCTTCAGCTACAGAAGTACAATTGTTACTGGAATCAATACCAGAATAAATTAGAGAGCCACGTCTTCGGACACAAACGTTGTCCTCGTCATCATCTCCATCTCAGAACCTGAAATTTTCCCCAAATGAGTCCAATCAAAATAAGCGAACATACGTAAAAATCATCAAATAAAACGATCGGGACTTCATACTTTGCTTAGCGATCGGAGAAAGCAGTCTAGATTATGGCCTCAGGTGTCTCCGATTTGCTGTGGAAAGTATCGGCGGTGAAAAACAGATGAGAAGAAAAAATGGTCGAGAAATTTTGTCTACGAAATCACTAATCCAGCGGCCAATCAAATTGAGACACGTGCGTGATGAACCTGCTCCTCAAAGGTTTTTCGGGTCTTTCCTAATCCTAACGAACCAATCCTTCTACAAAATGGGCTTTTTCCATTTAAAAATATACAAAAAACCTAACGAATCCCACCTATAAATCCCTCTAGAATCCGCGTTGGAGATACCCTTAGCCCAAAAACAGCAAACCTATATATTTGCGACCGACTTTTTTCGAAACAAAAATTTCGGCATTCAACTTTCAAAAAAAAAAAAAAATTAATCTGGTGGTAGTATTACAGTTATAAAAAACACTAGATTCTCATAATTTTTATTGTTTTAATATTTTTTACGAAAAAGAAAGTAGATGTTGAATATAATGTTTAATTAAAGACTAGATTTTATACCCGTGCGTCCGCACGAGAATTTTTTATTTCTAATATAAGTTGCATTAATTTTTTTGTTTAGATATAATTAGTTTTTGTTATTTATTTTTTTAAATAAAAAAATTGTTATCATGTTTTAATTTTAAACAGTAAAAATTTGTATATTAGTAGAATAAAAGTATGCGTTAATTAAGTATACATTGATCTAATGTTAATTATAAACTTTGTTATTATGTGAATTTAGATTTACATATAGATAATCTATATATCTATGAATTTGCTAACCCGTCCGTTTAGTTGTCTAAAATCATTTTTAATATCTTACATGTTTTGACAAACTAAACTGTATAAGACTATAATTATAAATGTATAACCCTATAAATATTTACTAATATTGAATATTTGGACCAATTGATTATGAAAAATATAATAAAATATTTATTTACTATTTATGCTATTACAAAAATGTATATATATATATATATATATATAAACTGGCTAACCTGTTAGTTTAATTGTCTCAAATCATCTTAATATCTTACATGTTTTTATAAATTAACTCATAGACATTAAGTATATATAGATATATATATATATAACTCTAATCAGCTCGATCATATTATTGTATAATATAAATATTTATTAATCTAAAATATTTGATATTTTAGACCGACTGATTATGATAAAATACAATAAAATATTTATTTACTATGCAGTTTTATAAAAATATTATTTAAATTTAAAATTTAAAATTAAATCTAACCTGTATTTAAGGAATTCTAAATTATTATAATTATTTGTAATAAAATTTAATTATATTTTTTTGTTGATTTTTTTTAATTTAAATTAATTTAAATACAGATTTTTGTAATTAAATTTAATTATCATAAATTCCCAATAATTTGAAATTTAAGTTAAAGATGACCTAGATTTTAGGAAACCTTAAAATATCTAAATTAATAACTAATTTTCGGAAATTAAATATAAATATAAAATAATATATCATAAAAAAATTTTGGGAGTGTTTGGAAGCAAGTACTAAAAATGCTGATCTGTTTTAATATAATAGATATGAAGTTTTATGTTATGCACGAAATAATATGTGGAGTTTAAACATCGATGAGTCTGAATTTTATTATGTAGAGATATAAATTTATATTATGGATATATAAATCTCAAATGGACAGCCCAATATGGATGGGTAGAAATGCAACGGCCTAAGAGTCTAAATTTGTGTTCATAAAAATGTTCTTATACAATATTAAATATTTGAACTAAATAAATAGTAAAAGATATATTTTTTTTCCTTAATTAAGATTCACTACAATATATATTGGAAAACTTCAGTATTAAAAAACCAAAACCATTAAATGATGTTAAATTTATATAAAAGAAAAAAATATTTTTTTTCACAAAGGGAAACCATTTTGGGCCAGCCCAGTATAGGTTGATCAATACTGTCTTTGCATTTGATGTTTTTGAGTAGATAATATAGAGTACAGATATATATTGATTCTACTTATGTATCTGACAGGTCCAGCCCATTTTAATTTTAATTGTTTTCATTTACAAACTACAATATAATTTTTAAATTTTGATGTTTTGTATATTACCAACTAAAATTGCAGGTTTGATTATGCAAATCCTTAAAACCTATTTTAGTTAGTGATATTAAACATTCCGTGAAAGACACAAAGTTATCCTCATATTTCAAACTAATTATTATATGTATTCAAAGACATAAATTATACCTCAAAACAGATTATGTCTTTTGTTACAAAATCAATGGATAACTAAACATAGCATAAAAATTACTATAAATCTCTTAACATCGTTCGGAAAAAAATATCATCTTACACAAATGTGATTACTAAGCAAAAATTGCTCAAAACCCCATCTCCGATTGATACCTAATATATAAATGTGAATACACCTTGATTAGTATTATAATATATACTAAAATATGATCAAATATATATATATATATATCAATATTAACTTACTTCTTTTTGAATTCAATGGCTTATTGTATATGTGGGTCTATTAAAAACTATGAACAACCCATAACAGAATGAACACACATCCGCCCAACATCGTGATCTACATTAAAAACTGTTTTTTAGCAATCTAACTTACGTACATGTTGTATACAAACACTATGGTATATATGAGATTTAATACTAAATAATATTTTTACTAACCTCTTTCTTCTTTAATTTCTCAAAAACGGAGAACACATACAGAACGATAAGTTCCACTATGGATCCACTCATACTTGAAATCTCTCGCAATATCACCAACTGCAACACAGCCCATAATACATGCGCTTCAATATTGTCAAGTAAATATTTGATAAGCTAAAGTACAAAGTCGAGTAAAGAAACTAAATAATATGTCCCCTAAATAATATGAAGATGAAATAAAACTTACTCTGTGTTCTCCAGATCAAAATTTAATATATATTGTCCTCGTTCGTTTAAGAGTTCGCCTACGGCAGAGACAGTTCCAACTAATTCTATGTATGGATATACATGCAAAAGGAATATGTTAATTGAACGTTTGATTAAGAGAAATCAATAATAAATAGTTAAAAATACAATAGTTTATACCTGTCAAAACAGAAAGGTCTGCCTTTCTTCTCAGAATATCTATGAATTTTGTAGCATCCAAAAAAAACCTATCTGTCTTGGCCTGAATATTTTCGATAATGGTGGAGTTCTTCAATAGAATATAGTAGATATTGCGTGTAAGTCTTCAAACATCATTATTTACAAATACTTTGAAGCCCCAAATAAGCTTCCAATCGCCTTGTCTAAGTTTATCTTCATGATGATGCACATCACTTGGTTCTATTTTAGCGGATATCTTCAAACCCTTAGAGTATTTACAAATAAATGCAAAATAGAATAAAAATTTAAGTTGTTAAAACTATAGAGTATAATAAAAGAATATAAACGTCCGAATATGTAAAGGTTTTTAAATATTATCACATAAGGTAGTTTAAGTGCGAATAAGGAATTTTGAATAAGTACCTTATTATCCATGAGTATCATCTCAATACTATCACCGTAAGAAGATGGTTTCCTCCATATACTCAAGATTTTGACATCGATCGCCCAACAATGACCCATTGCACGCAAATCTTCCAATTCATCTCGAGCAACTCTTGAAAAATCCATTTTCTGAGATGAAAATGAAATTGTGAGTTCAGAGAAAAAGTTAATAGAGATAAAGATGAATTACTTTTTATGACATGCTTCTTTGGAAAATGTGAGGAAGATTCAATGCATGTCCGTAAATTAATTTTTTCGAATGAGTAATTTCTCTGACTTATTTAATAACAATATTATTGTGTAAACAATATTTTCTTTAATATTACACAAAGTAGATCGTTTAATTAAAATTATCTAAATAGAATTTTTAAAAATAACAAATCAAACCGGGGAGAATACATTCATGATTTAAATGAATCGATCAACGATTTTGGGATATAATATCACATGTTAGAGCTTTGAACAATATACTGTTAATATCATAATATGAAAATTCACCTAAAAATGTAAGTGTAAAATATGGTACTTTAGACTACGAACGAAACAAAAAGCATATTGTACTTGAAAAGTCATTATGGTAATAGCATAATATGTAAAACGAAAAGGAATTCTAATTTTTATTACATAACATAATTAAGGAGAACATCACTCCTATTCAGATAAGATAAATGGAATGTTTTAAAAAGAGTAAAACACAAAATAGTAAGATACATGTATCAACCTAAATAGTTCGTCTAGGAATTGATCTTTGAAGATTACCCTGCAATTTGGAACCTATACAATTATAGACAAATGTTACACATATTTATTACTATTAAATGTTAAATAGAATATTAGATTTACAATCCAACTTACTTGTTTCGAAAATCTTGAACTTCCTTAAAATCAGGATTGAATCTGAATCGAGATATACCTTCGCTGTTTCGAATAAACTGACCGTGTTCTATAATAAAATACAACACAATGTCAATCCAATTTTATAATAAATGAATGAAAAATCATAGGTCTTTTTATTCTTCTCTAAATTTGTAACTTTTTACCTTTATTTTTGCTGAGCTTCCACTCGCTGAGTAGACAAAACACCAAATTAGTTGTTCTACTTTTTACCTTTATAAGCAAAACACTTAAGAACAACATCACTGAAAATTTTAAATAATGATATCAAAAACATATAAAGAGTATATACCGGTCTATACATAAATAAAAATCTACACTTACTTCAAATTTCTAATATGGAATTCAATACACCGGAAGGTTGAACTCGATGATCCTTGTACACCGATGATCCTTGTACACCGGTTTGAATAGTTCCAACGTAATCAATCACCCCAAGTAAGTCTGTTTAAAATGATCAATAAAATGTAATTAGCAAGACTTCAATTTTATAAAATATAAGTATTTCAAACCAATAAGATATTATGTGAAAAAAAATTATAACTAATATAAATGATAAACACATTACCTATAGGATAAGTAGGATCAATCATTCCATCTTTAATTGATTTGAAATCAATCAAATTCAAAAACATGCAAGTTGGGGGATTATTGACAAGAGTTGCAACGGAAGTCTCACAGGTCAAAATAATGTTGTAGAAGTGATTCGTTGGTCTCTCGTTCCAGTTATTCAAGTCGGAGTTTGTAACTACAAACCCACTAATTTCTTTCCAATTTCCTTCATTCATTTCTCGATGAAAGAACGCTTCAACGAAATTATTCGCCGTTGCATGTATTTTGAAACCCTGAAACATTTTCCGTTAAAATTTAAAAGTAAATTATATGATAAAATAAAATAAAAAATTTGCACAGATGTTGTTAATAAAACCTCTTCGTCGACAAAGATGAACTCCAAATGCGGTCTATCATTGTTGTCAAACTCCATCCATTTCTTATAAACTAAAACACGTATAGTCCAGTGTTTTCTCCAAGGGTGTAAGTGACTAACTAAGTTGTAGTAAACCATTTTGAAGAAAAAAAAAATTAATCGTTTCTGGGTGTGCAAAATTATGAGATTGGTTTTTATTGCCTGGATAGTTGCCAAGGGAGTAAAATCAGAAAACAGAGGATATATCTCACCTATTCGGAAGTAATACTTTGGAAAATTCACTAAATTTAAATATTTTGTATAATTTAATGCAATACCTTTTAATTAATACACTTAATTGAATTAAAAATTTAATTTAGTTTCTATTAATTTAATGTGGTTGGTATCTTTCGTATCTATTAAACATATATAATAAAAATCAAATTGTTTTGACAAAAATCATAAAATCCGATTTGGTAAATATTGATTGATATATAGCTAGTTAGAAGACCAAATGTCATGTAGGTTCAATCTCGATTGTCTCTAGTTTTTTTATGCAACTTGCATATGTTTATATATGACACATTTTATTAGGGTATTTCAAAAATATACACTTCAAAAAAACTTGTTAGACATTACAATTTTTATTTCATAAATGTGCAAGTAGTTTATGATTACCGTTTTTAGTTTATATGTTATATAATAACCGTTTCACACTTAGCAATATAAAATTATCTTAAATGGCGAAGATTGATTTAGTCTATTGGTTATCTTAAATTGAAACATAAAATGTATTATTCTTAAGGGTAATGATTACCATGAAGAAAATAAAGTGTCTTGTATCTCACATATCTATGTAGCATCAGTTATAGAATATGTCTATAAGTTTGTTTATTAACTATTAAATACGAAAAACAGACTAAGTTGTTATACTTTAAAACAACAAAAATTATTCACATATAAATTAAACATTTCTACATAATCAAAGAATATCAATCTATAAAAAAAATTAAAAAGTTAAAAAGCCAACATTATGACAGTTTATTGAAGATAATAACAATGACTGGTTATCATCATCCAATTATAAATCATATTGATTCGATTTATTATATAGTTTCGTTGCATGCAACTCCAATCAATTACCGAGACGATAATCATTAGTATTGAGAAATTAAAAAGTTGACATTATAACAGTTTATTCCGTAGCATGCAACTTATTAACACCTGTTCTATATACGTTAAGGTAAAGAAAATTAATTTAACATAAATTATAATTATTAACACCTGTTATATATACGTCACCGTAAACTACCAGTTCGATATATATAAATGTAAAAATTGGTCGGTTTATACTCGATCGAAATAAATACAAACATACAAAGTTGCAAATAGAAACGGACATTGTAACAAAATAAAATCTTCTATCTAGTATTTATCATAAATGGGCCATATCAAAAATTACACTTCGACATAAAAACTCAAAACAATTAACCAAATGACATTGTATTTCAAAAAATAAATAATACTGCAATTGGTTCGACATATATTGTTCAATTGAAAAATATAACAACGTCAAACGATAAACAACACCAAGCCGAATCACATAATAACTATAGGAATACAATGATGCATTCACCCCTACATAAAACATAAAAACAAAAACTTTTACATAATGAATGCATTATATTATTAACGGAACGAATACGAAAATGAAAAACATACATTTTTAATCATCACGATCATTTCCTAAATTCCGGAATACTTTTTTGAATATAACATTCATTGTTTGCCTTTGTGGAATGCCATCTCTATCTACTATCAATATTTTCAAGTCTTTCATCGATGTTACCTGAGATATTGCAACATATAGCTGCCCATGAGAAAACACAGGACAAGGTAAATACAAACCTACTTTTGATAACGACTGTCCCTGATTTTTGTTGATGGTTATAGCGAATGCAACTGCCAACGGTAACTGTCTACGTCTTAATTAAAAGGCAATCTTGCATCAGATGAAGTGATCAGCAATCGTGGAATAATAAATTTGTCTCCAGCTTTATCTCTGGTAATAATTCTTGCTTCTATCATGAAATCCGTCATTTGAGTAATCTGAAGTCTTGTTCCATTCATCAATCCCGCTTTAGGGTCAATATTCCTAAGCAGCATCACATGACACCCTATTTTCAATGTAATACAATGATTGGAAAGTCCAGCAACTTTTATACTGTTTAAAAACTCAGGAGTAAAAGCGGGATTTTGCAATGCTCCAGAGTCAGCAGGATCTATAGTATCAGAACTCAGATATACTTTTGACTCACCTGTGTTAAGTAGTTCAAAATATTGATATAAGTAAGAATAAAATTCCAAAAAAAAAATCTATAAACACAATCATATAAGATGAACATATTGTACTTACCAGTCATCTTCGACAACATATGTTCATTTATATTGTTCACATCTTCATTGGTTGGACAAAGTTTGCTTTTTCTTGCCAAAATTTGGCCTCTTTTTCCTCCTGAAACGATGTTTTTTTCTCCGTAAATTTGTGTACATATTGCTTCAATTGGATCATGTACGTCCGTTACAAGGAACTCCTCAGGAATATCAATCATTGCTTCACCATCATTTGGCTCAGCAATTTTACCTTCGCCAACATCTCAAATCCGTTCAGAAAATTCCTTTAATTCATTTGCTTCCTCAACACTCAAGTCACTTGCCAGTAACCTCATGTTTTTCGTTAGCTTTATAACTTTGCAATAATCCCAGATATAGGATGCATTCAATGCAGCATTAGCAACATCTCCCCTTGAAGCACCATGCATTACAGGTAGAATCTGACTGAAATCTCCACCAAATACAACAACTTTCCCACCGAAAACACCTCCTTCGTCATTCTGCATGATGTCAGATAAATTTTTATCTAACGATTCAAAGCAGTATTTACTCATCATAGGTGCTTCATCCCAAATAATAAGAGATGCTTCTTCTATCAAATTTGCAACTTCTGAACCACGTTTTATTGAACATGTAGTATTTTTTCTAGGTTAATAGGTATACCAAACCGCGAATGAGCTGTCCGACCTCCTTATAACAACAAAGATGCGATTCCACTTGATGCAACGTTTAGCACAATATCACCCTTACATCTTATTGCAGCAGACAAAAGAGACCAAAGGAAAGTTTTGCCAATACCTCCAAATCCATATACAAAAAAATGCTTCATTTTTTGTTATCAACTGCTTCAATAATCTCATCATAAATCTTCCTTTGCTCAGTGGTAAGCTTCACAATGTCTCTATCATGCATTTCTTTTAATGCCTGTCTATCATAATTGTTTTCATCAATTATTAAGACATTACCATTGTTAAGCCCATCTTTTGGAGGCTTAGGCATTGATGTATAGAATTGCAAAGAACTATTGTGAAATTTAAAGATCTTCTCAATCTCCAAAAGGGCAAACTTTTTCTTATCAGCATCATCCAATATAAGACCTGCAAAACATGTAAATTATATGTATAATGAGTTTACTAATCAGTTACAAATTAAAAAATGCATTATGGTTTAACACAATACCGTTAAAGATGCAATAAAATAAATAAGAAAACGGTAGGGAATTTAACAAACCTGACCGAATACAATGCTGTCGCCGCATGTATTTAATATCTTCTGAAAAAACTTCCCAGGTTTGTTCCCAAATATATTCAGGCCGAGACAAACTACCAGATACAAGTCTTATAACAAATAGTCGTCTTAAAAATGACCCTGTAGCAGTAAAACTCATTCTAATAATATCAGTAATATACTCCTGGTCATCTTCTAACAACCCTCTAGCATAACATGCTTCCTTGAAAGAAGGGTATACCACATCATTGTAGGATTTGATATCATAAAAAGATTCTGGACACCTGACAACATTAAGAAGAATCCTCAAATAATAAGCTTCTTCTAGTTTACGTGGAACATAAGTAATCATTCCAATAGCAAAACATCTTTTCCTTGGTTTAAACATCCGAAGTGATTTATCCTACGTATAGTAAATAGGGATTTCTCCATATATACGTGAGTGTTTTACATTTACCGCCTTTTTTGTTCAACTCAAACCAAGCCGTCATCTTTGTGTTCTTTACAGCTTCCTTATGGATAACCGTTTCTACCATCTCATCACCCTTGAAATATACCAACTGTTTGCCTGGTAAGTGAAATGAAAGGTGTTCAACGGGGGTTGTACAATTGTGGATTGGTTTTTTTAAGATTCGCCATGCAGATTCACACGCAGATACATATCTGTATAATATAATAGTATGTTAGAAGTAAACAACTAACGATGTTCAATTAAATATATAGTTTTTATTCTGATAGTAGTTCAAATATAAATGTTTACAACGAACCTGCATTCGAAGAAGTCTTTAATCTCATTTTTCTTCTTTGCTTGACATTCATGTGTGGAATCACAATGACTGTTATCTCCTCCATCAGCTTTCACATTATGTGCTTGCGAAGGCTCAATCACAAACGTAACACGATCAAACCCTTTATTTATATACTTAAATAAGTATTTAATGGAAGAAGCTTGGTTGCACCAGTCAACATTGATATAAGCTCGATAACGAAGAGACAACTTTCTGTTATAGGGTATCACAAATCTATTATCATATTTGTATCCATTTTTGTCAACGTAATCCTTGAGCTGTGACCTCCTCCTATACAAAAGAAAACCTTCTTTAAAATAGTTGTCGTCTCAACATGCTGTTTAGGATACATTTTTGTACAACTCCCTTGCGACATGCATGGTGATCTTGGATTAATATCACCGCATGGACCATAAATCATCATTTCTGAAACAATTCCATAAAGCTCTGACTCTTCATATCGGTCGGGTATCTTAGCTGATATAACATTGTCGATTTTTTCAGGAGGAATTTTTGAAGTTGGATCTAAAAACAATAGAATATGTGCATGCGGTAGACCCCTCTTCAGAAATTCTATGGTGTACATGGCTGAAATTACGAAAATATATATCAATGAATAAACTGTATAATATTGATATTACAAATGTCACAATTAATGAATGTCAAAGTTACTAACCAGAAACAACTTTTCCTATACCGAGTCTGTTATCAGCAAAATCCATCATCATAGAAGCTAGCTTCATTCTGAACACCCGACAAATTATATCTGGTCTATCATCAAAACTGAGCTTCCGCTCGTTCACATACCTCGTGATTTCTGGCCACTTTGGATTACATGTAAAGGTGATGAAAAGATCAAGGTACCCAAAATGTTTACATATAGACATTGCATCCAAGTAGCATTGAGTCATATATCAAGGTCCACCAGTGAATGAAGGAGGCAAATACGTTTTTCTACCTTGATCACGCAAATTCTTTTTACCTTTATTTGATGCATCTTCTATTGAATCAAGATTTTCAGATCTGAGTGATGTCTGGTTTTTGTCAAGATAGCCGACACGATTTGCCTCTATCATAGTAAAAACATCTACCAGAAACTGCTGTAATAACCTCTTAGCCCGCAGCAAAGTGTGACATTCATTATTTCTCTCCTGTATACGAAATGCAAAAAACTGTCTCATACTAATATATTCTCGTTTCCGTTTTTTCTTCCCAGTCTTTGCAAAGCATTTTTCAATGCGAATATGGAAACCGTCTTCACCATACGGAAATATCAAAGGATACTGTAGAGCAATGTATGAAGGATGAATTTCACTAATCCTTATCAGCTTGCCGCATTGTTTCTGCAATATTATATCACGCTTACACATATCCTCATTCAGATCACCCGAGATCAGCGCAGCCACTTCAGACGCAGTAGGCATATTATATATCCTTGAGTCTTTCTGGCGATCATTTATAAGTCTCATATGAAGCTCCTCGTTGGGATCCATTTTCAATCTGTCTCTAGCAGCTCGAAAATTCTTCACGTAAGGGTTCACCTTATCTAACATCTTAATCAGCTTATTAATTAATTCATTCCTGAATTGTTTACGTTTAGACATCTTCATAGAATTTTTACTTTTGCTGCAAGCAAAAGATATTATTATTAAAATAAAGTAATAATAAATATGAATTCAATCATTACTTTTACCTCATAATGGTCGAACATTTTTGTACTTCTTCATTGGTGTCCACAATAAATAACTGATAAAACTTTGCAACATCACCAGATTTAGGGAGCATACTTCCCATCAGATGATAATTCTCTCCGTTAAGCTGGAACATTGATGGTCCACGTCCCTTTTTGATAGACCTATCTACTTTACCTCCAATAGAAGTCATTGAAAATAGCATATTGTAGGCTCTAACATTCTCGCGAAAATGTTTGCTTAGATCATCAGCAGATGTAAAAATATGCATTAATTCCTCTGGAGAATCTCGAAGGTATGATAGCTTTACTTGACCTTGCGAACAGCACAAAGAAAATATAGGACTCTTTGCTTTTCTTCTTTTGTTTAAACGTTCACCATACCAGAAAATTGCACCACAATAATTACACTCATATGAAGGATAGCTATCATCTTTATATTCTGAATATAAAAGTAGTCCGACATTATAATAAATTAATATGTGAATCACATAACATAAGATTTAGCGTTGGAAATAAATACCTTTATATTCACTGAAAGGATTATTATTATTGGAGAGTCCTACAGAAAACGCTTTCTGCAACATAGTAGCTAAACTCTTGACATCATAAACATAGTCTTCAGGTTCCTCATTGTCAGATGAAGTTTATTCGCCAGCTTCATCCATAATATAGTTTTCCTCATCGGACGAACCATCAAGACTGCTACAGTCAAACCGCTGTTCATAATCATACTCATCTATAAAATATATAATTGTTATTAGTTAAAAAGGTATAAGTGTATATAATTGCACATTAAGTCAATACAGCGTGAAGGTAAATATTACTTTCTGAATCCCAGTATTTGTTTGGGAAGACGACATCATCATACATATCTTTGGTATCATCAACACCAAGACTACTATAATCAACATGTCCTGACAGACGAATGTAAAACAATACGAAATGCAAGTAAACGATATTTTCTGGGCACAAAATTAGTTGCAATATAAATACTTATCTTCACGATGTTGATGGTCGAAAATATTCTCGTTGTAGTTCTGACCAATCTCCTGTTTACATTTATAATATTCATAAGAAGATATAGAATCTGTATTCCGTATACAAGATGAATCTCCATTTTTTAAGAAAACAAACTTGGTTGACTTGTTACTTGACCCACAATTAGTTAACTTCGTCGATGTCAACTGGGATATGTTGCTATATAAATAAAAAAGAAGATTACAAAAACCAATACTTATCAAGGTACATTATATATAAAGGACCATAATATGCCAAACATATATAACTCACATGAAGATAGTGATTCTGGTTGCTTCCGCTTTCTCTTTTCTAATGTGAAAGAATTCTCTTTCCTAGTATAATTTGTTTGAGTATGTAAAGCTGAATTATTGAAAGAATAATGTCGCATACTAAAGTTTAATGATTTATAACCATTTTGTTAACGATAATAATATACGATTTAAAGAAAATAGTTTCTAAACATCAATTTAAGAATACTTACAGTTTTCCAGTCCATCACATAAGGTAGGAGAAAATTGATTATGCGTTCTAGTTATGGATTCAGTATTAGTTCTGTCTACCAAAATTTGTGGAAATAGAAAATGAACTTTGATCTCGTTTTCAAAATGATTATCCACTATATCTGATTTCTGAGTAAACGAATTGGTAGATGATGATCCTGAATTATTAACTTGGCTGCTCCAACCAGACAACAAAGTCTTCTGTTTATTCTTCCGATCAACATGTTTAATCCTAGGCATAATTTAACATCTCATAAAACCTCCTCGTTAAGATCAAAATATAGCAAAAACGGTGGGATTAGGGAGAGAAGATAGACTAAGAATAAAACAAAAGAGTTTAGGTTAAATTTACGGCCGCAAATCCTACAATTGAATCTTAACATTATCTATTAATCAGTTATGATATGTAAAGATTTTTTTATTTCAAAATACAAATTGATAAATGAACATAACCAATTTAAATATATTTATATGAAATTACCATTCACATATATGAATAATATACCATAAATCGAATTATGTACATAACAATTATTGTTACTTGCCATAGATATGAAGCATCTTAAAAACATTGCCATTACAATTTTACGCTGTATATTTGCAAAATATTATAATTTATTAATTGCATACTGTAAATCGTTAAGACAATATATAATTAGGTAATTCACATATTCACTCAATATGATTATATATTATATATGCAATCGAATTTCTCACTATATAAAATATCATTTTTTGTTACAATCCATTCCACAAACATCTACATAAAAAAAATGAATTGAGATTTAAATTATTAATTTACTTAGTTATAAATTAGGAAATGTAAATAAACTAATTCTTTCTGATGTGATCTTTGACAGATGTACAAAAATTATTTACTAGAGAAATATTTTTTTTCTTGGATGTAAATATATTTTTTGTACGTCTATCTGTGGACTACATGAGAGGAATAGTTGTAGATAATTGTATTTGAGTGAAGAAAGTTCCCTTCTACTTTTATTTATAGTCGTAAAAGTAAGGTGACTACTCACATTTCATCTGTGTGTTTTATATTCCCCAAAAGTCTGCTTTAATTAAAACATATTAAGATACAGTTGACTAATTAAGATACAGTTGACTCAATTATCACAAATTTACATAGAATAGCATTTACAAATAAATGAATATATCTTCTATAAATATTGGAAAAAATATTGAAAAATATAAAATAAGGTATGTACTCCGAAGTAAGTGTATGATTCATCTAAAATTTCTTCATCATACATATACTATAGTAATTACTCAAATATGTCACTGCAAAACGTTAGGCAATATTAATTTCGGCCCAATAAAATTAACACGATACACACGAAATTTGTAAAATAATGTACACGTAGTAATGGTTAAATTAAAAGAATAAATTATTAAAGTTCAAGAACAAATGCATGAGTATCATCCGAACAAACTTCCACAAAAAGTTGAACAACAATAGTGAAATAACATGAGAAGATATAAATTCAAATAACCATATTTTTTGCTATATCACGCCCATAACTTTTCCAGATCCATGTGCACGAGCGAGTCCCTTATCAAATTTCCATCTCATAAGAAGGCTCTTGCCTCAGCGTGTTTATCAGCGACTCCTACAAGGTTTACATATAAATATAAACATAAAAGGCCAAATAACGTGTATTAATATATACAATTTATTATATGCAACCCAAACTAATAAATTTCAAAATTATACCTTATTACCAGACAATAGCAAACTCTGATCACCCATATTTTCAAATTCATTCACCTCATCAGCAGATAAAACATCATTTCCTTTCCAAACCTTCCCGACTTTGTATGTATTACTACCACCGTATAGATTTTTTTTTCTCAACACAAATCAGAAACTGAAAAATCTTCCCAATCAAGTTTTGCAGTGCATCAGGAAGGACATCCGGTTCTTGTATCTAAGTATATAACGTACATGACATTTTAAACAAACAAAGTCTTTATATATATATGGTTAAAATTGTATCATAGATTAAGATTTACAATTAATACCTCATCGAAGTTCCCCTTGAGAATTTCATCAGCTTTCTGATTTAAAATATCCTGCGCGTTTCTATCAAAAAGAAAACACTTGATTTTGCTGGTATCGTCCATAACGCAAAGATGAAGTTTGTACCTAGCAATATATAAAGATTCTATTAAAATACTTGAATGCACGGTTAGATAAATAATTAAGACAAATACTAAAAAATAGTAAAAAATTTTACCTCGCATTCACAAAAGACACTTTTGCATCACATGTTTCACATGAATAAAAGGTCTTATTCTTCTTGGTCGTTTTTTGATCTTCCTTCTTTGGAATTTTGTACACTTTTTTACCACACCTAGTGCAAACCAAATAAAACCACGACCAGTCTGTGTCAACCGCGTAGATGGTGCACATGATCTTACATTTCCCAACCTAAAGAAACAAAAATACAAATGTCAAAATTATATAATCTATGACGTTTTCTCTAGCAAAGTTTTAAAATGACATATACCTCAAGAGAATCTCGCAATTCTGAAATAGTGACCATTGGAAACTGATCAAAATGAATCTCATCACCATAAGAAACCCTTTGTTGAGGTTTGTACTCAAGAACGTAATACGTCCGCAATTCTCAGGTAAACTAATAATAATAGTATTAGTTGTATTCGTAATCGTAATGATAAGACATATATATATATATAATATACATAGACAAATTACCTATTCTTGAAGACAATGACATCGGGATCATTCAAATCGATCAGAACCTTCGTTGTTTGACAACTACTTGTTATTTGACGATCACCTACAATATTTTACAAACAAAACAAAACAAAAACAATGGTGTTGTATGAAAAGAACAAATTTATGAATAAACAAAAATTAATATGTACCTTTGAAAACGTTTATTTTCCCAAAATGGATCACAAGAATGACACTTCTTTCACCCGCACTCCGACAAACCGAACAGACTTCCTCACCAAGCTTTCCCCAAAGTGTGCATGGTAAACGTTCATCACTATAACACATATCACATAAAACAGATGAAAGGAAACAATACAAATAAATAAAGTGTCTGTATTTATTTATATATACTCACTTAGCATTTCGTAGAGCGAACTCGAGTTTGGTGGTGTCCTTATTCATAACAAATATTGTTTGCAACTCACATACACTTTCAACTTGTCCAATAACATCTATTTAGGAAATAACGTCAGATAATTATTGAAACTAATATGAATGAACAAATTAAATAAAATATTACGGATAAACTTACCAACCAAAAAAACTCGTATAGGTTACATCATCCAATATTGTAACAAACTCTGAGAAATAAAAAAACAAACTATCTGACCGTTTAGAAGTTTTGCTGACAACTGTAGAAGATGTGAATGACATCTTAAATTGATGTCTGGTGGTCCGATAGTGTCCTGAAGCCTGATTCAATGAAAAGTTCTCTATGAACTTCCATTCACCGACAACCATCATCCGTTCAAAACGATGCAGCAATTTTTTCTTGACAGTTGCGTGGATTTTGGTACCCTGGATGATCAAGAAGTTACAAAATTAAACAGAACAATCAAAATATTAAAAAATAATGTCGATTAATAATATATTGTACCATTTAATCGGTCAGGATGATTTCCAAAGACTCGCCACTCTTGGTTTGGTATTGTTTCCATGTATGAAGCACCTTCACTTGAACCTTCCACCCAGTCCTATAAGGCTTAACGTCAGCTAAAGGGGGTAGCTTTGTTGTGGAAGCCATAAGAACAATGAAAAACCAAAAAAAAAACAGAGAGGAAAACGAAACTTCATGAGGAGTGTTTTGGAAGAAGGAGTTGTATATTTATAATAAAATATAGGTTTTTTGATAAGCCGTTAAATGTTCATAAATTGGCGGCCAAGAATATTCGTGAAATTTAAATTTTTAAAATAGATATGCCAAATATCAAATAACGTTGTTTTTGTAAAATAGTTGTAATTGTCTATATACACGGAGATGCGATATAAACGGGATAAATTCGAAATATCTTATGGTAGAAGTTCAAAGATGAGCACCTATGTATATTATTTCGAAATTAAAGAAATACGATAAGGAACATATATTTACGAGAATATATTGTGTTCAATAAATATGGGAACTAAACCCAAATGAGATATGTGGTAGTGGTTAGAATTGTCTACACTATTATAGTGCGTATTGTTGTAATTTGTAACAATAATTATTGGTATAATTAATAATAGATATCATAACAGGATTTGAAGTAGATTTAATACGCATACGTAATCTTGCAAGTCTATTCAAATGAGTTCGAAAGTTATTGCGAATTTTAGTTTATCTGTAATAATAGGATATTTTGTTTAAATTACGTTTTTATTGAAGAATTGAAATAAATAAATAATTGTAAGTAATAAGAAACGGGTCAAATTAAAGGATTTGCGTCCTTTTAAACGGGTCAAAATAAAGGATGTGGATCCTCTTTGGTTTGAGTTTTTTTTTTGTTCGTGGGATATATTTTTATATAATGACATTTATTGTAATATACCACGTAACACCGAGGTCAATTTCCTAAATGTACTTTTTCTTTAATATTTTAAAATGATTTAGAAGGTCATGAATTTAAAAATTTAATATGGTAAAGTGACCTCTAAAACTCAAGGCTGGCTCTGTGAATTGCTATCGTGGAAATCTTAGATCTAATGTTATGATGAGGTGATATGTATTACGTATGATTTTCTAAGGATCTCAATAAATTCAATAGCATCAAAGTTTAAATCTAATACTGGTGCCTATTTCTAGAAATAAAAATTAGGAATTGTCTTTTTGAAATACTGAAAACCATCGATTGCATGTGTATTTGGTTAAGTGAGTTTTGTTATATGTTTCTGATTCAACACTGTCATTTAAATTGATTTATCCTCTATTTCTCTTAAAATTCTAATTTTGTTATAACACATATCATATATGGACTCTTATACCGGCCCATTAGGCCCATCAGGGCATTGTACTTAACCTAGATTCCCTATGTACTCTATATATACATTCCAGTGATTAATAAAGTTTCTAAGTTTTCACAACACGTTATCAGCACGATAAGACTCTCTGAGTGAAAAACCCGAATAAATCCGGCCACCACCAAAACCCTAAAAGCAAGTCGAAACTTAAAAGACGCATATCTTCCACACCGTGAAGAACCAGAAGACGATCTACATATCAAATCGAAGCCCTCGACGAGACGAATCTACTGGTGAAAACCGTTTGTCGATCCAACGTCGGACGCGCCCTCACGCACACTTACAGTACACGACGATCAACCGAAAAATAAAAAAAACCAGATCCGAGTTTTTCCTTCTTCAACCAGCAGCTTCTCCAGTTTTGGTGATCAATCCTTGGAATTTGTAGCGGCTAACTGAGGTCTATTAGCTCCCAGTTTCATTAGCCTGTCAGAAATCCAAAGGTGGAAAAGGTATCTTCTAAAACTGAGAGCCATAGAACCTGTTGTTTAAACACTTCAAAACCCTATAAAAAAAAAAAAATCAATCTCTAATTGATTGAAAGTGTTTGATACTCTGATGATTGATTGATAACTTGTTGATTGATTGTTTAAATTACAAGTTTATGCATGTTCAAAGGTTTTAAACTCGTTTTATAAAACCCTAATCTACAAAAACCTAACAACCGTTTTTGGCCATGTTTATGGCATAAACCTATTCGATTTTCTTCATGTTTAATAAGCTTGTTGCAGCTTATTTGATTGTTGATTCTCTTGCTTGAAACACTTGATTGAATAAACTAAGAAAATCAACCCTAAATCCTAAGCTTGATTCACGATTTTGTAATCTTCAAAATCGTATACAAAATCGTAAGTCATAATGCTTAAACCCTAGTCCTTTTCACGTGATTTCTTTGTTGTCCTTGTGAAATTATTAAAACCATCGACCACAGATCCTATAGATCTCGAAATCACATCCAAAATATGTTTTCCAAACCGTTAAAACCCTAGATAAAACCCTAATCATATTCGGCTCCCCTAGGGTTCCTCCTAAACCGCCTAAAACCGGCTAAACCTGGTTCTCATTAACCGAAATTATATTCGGCTTTAACCGATTAAATTACAGCTATTAAACCGACATCATGTTCGGGGTAACTAAAACCATACCCTTTAAAATTTACTATTTCCGAGAAAGTTCCCTCTAATAGAAAGTTTCCTCATATAAAAACTTTCCTCATATAGAAATTTTCCCGACATAGAAACTTTCCTCATTTAGAAAATTACCCAAATTAGAAACTTTCCAAATTCAGAAACTTTCCTAAAATAGAAATATTCTCAAAATAGAAAGTTTCATCATCAGCATTCAAAATTTTCTCAAAACAATCCCTAACAAAATCAATCTCATGTTTCAGATGTCAAACATTCAGAAATGTGAATTCGAGGCCCTTCACGTCTCCGGGGATAACTACCTCGAGTGGGCCCTAGACATGCGCTTGTTCCTTGCATCGAAAGAACTCGATGCGTGTATTACCGACGGTAACACCGCATCCCGTAAGGGACAGTCTCAGGCGATATGTCACATACGCCATCATCTGGCCCCGAGCCTTAAGCAGCAATATCTCACTCTTGAGAATCCACTTGAATTGTGGCAAGCGCTGAAAAAGCGATATGACCATCAGAAAATGGTCCAGTTGCCTCAGGCAGATTTCGACTGGAAGAACCTTCGGTTCCAGGACTACAAATCCGTAGATGATTACAACAACGAACTCTTTCGTATTGTTGCCATCCGGAAACTCTGTGGCGAGGATGTGACAGATAATGATCTCCTCGAGAAAACATTATCCACATTCAGCACAGAGAATGTTGTGCTCCAACAACAATACCGTGCAATGAAACACACATTGTACGAAGACTTGTTGTCCTGTCTTCTCCTCGCTGAGAAGAATAACCAGCTGCTTATGAGGAACAGCGCTATGAGGCCCCCGGGATCGGCTCCTGTCCCAGCTTCTCGTCAAGAGTCCTACCATGTTCAACCCGATAGATCCTCAGATCACCGCCGTGGACGTGGTAATGGACGTGGTAATGGCCGAGGACATGGACGTGGAAGACGTGGACGCGGACATGGTCGTGGCAACCGACCTAACCTCAGTTATGGTCCTGGTCGTGGTCGAGGCATCACCAAGCCGACCCGCCACACCAACCCCGATCACTCTGCTTGTACCAGATGTGGGATGTTCAACCACCCAACAAAGCAATGTCGCACCCCCAAGATCCACTGCGATCTATACCAGAAGTACGGAAAAGCTCCTGCTGAAGCCAACATGACTCAGCCAGTCGATGCTGCTAACCTGGAAGGTGACGACCTCCTTGATGATGAGAACACCACAAACGAGCAGACCGACCCCATGGACTATGAAACAGCTGATCTCCTCGATTAATTCAATCATCTGAAACTCTGATACAATTTGATTTTGTTATTTATTTTTTTTTTCATTTTGGGATTTGTTTCATTTTTTTTTCCATTTGCCTTTATTCTCAGACACTGCTTTACTTTATGATTTATCACATTTTCTGAATTCCTCAATACTGAATTCTATCTTCTATTCATAATGAAGCACACCAGCAAATGGAAATCATAGTCGTAGATAGTGGATCCAGCCACACTATCTTAAGAAACAAAAGTTACTTCATAAACCTAACCTATCAAACCGCAAATATTAGCATCATCGCGGGTCCCTCAAACCTTATCGAAGGATATGGCCATGCCTATGTGTTGCTATCAAATGGCACACAACTTGAAATACCAGATGCTCTATATTCTCCTAGTTCGAAGAGAAATCTTCTGAGCTTCAAGGATATAAGACATAATGGTTTCCACATAGAAACCCAAGGTCAAGGGAACAAAGAATCCCTCCTAGTCACTAAAACCGTAGACGGCCATAAACAAATCCTCGAAACCATACCCGCGCTCTCTACTGGACTTTACCATGCTAAAGTCAGTATGATTGAAGCTAATACCACTCTCAAAGCCCGGTTTACTGATTATACTATTTGGCACGACCGGCTCGGTCATCCCGGTGCAAATATGATGCGTAAACTAATTCAAAACTCTCAAGGGCATACCCTCAAAGAAAACCGAGCTTATCCTCAACACCTCATGTGCACAGCTTGTTCTCAAGGCAAAATTGATCACTCGGCCT